TTTCCTTTTGATTCCATGGTATGACCATCTGTTTACTCATTTTCCCATTGATGGATACCTGGATTATCTTTATTTTTCAGTTAGTATGAATAAAACTGTTCAAGCATTGAGCCTAAGTCTTTCTGTGGCTACATGCCTACATCTCTCTTGAAGGAATGCCTAGGAGAGGAATTGCTGGATCATAGGCTTATCGTATATTGAGTTACATAAAAAACTATTAACACTGATTTTCAAAGTGGTTGTACCATTCTACACTCCTACTGAAAATAAGGGTTGTGATTGCTCTGCATTCCTGCCAAACTTTGGTATTGTCCGTGTAAAAAATTTCAGCCATTTTGGTTTGTGTGTGGATACTTTAATTTGCAATTTCCTGAAGATGAATGATGGTGAACAATTTTTTTCACATACTCATTGGCTATTTGCATCTCTTCCTTTGTGAAGTGTATGCACTGGCTTTTTACCTATTTTAAAAATTAAAGCCTAGGCAACATAGTGAGACTCTGTCTCTACAAAAATTTTTAAAAAAATTAGCGGGGAGCCGGGCTCGGTGGCTCAGCCTGTAATCCTGCGCCTTTGGGAGGCTGAGGTGAGTGAATTGCCTGAGCCCGCGGGTTCGAGACCCGCCTGGGCAGCGAGACCTCATCTTTACAATAAATCAAAAAATCAGCTGGGTGTGGTGGCGCATGCCTGTAATTCCAGCTACTCGGAAGACTGAGGCGGAAGGATCGCTGGAGCCCAGCGGGCCGAGGCTGCGGTGGCCGGGAGCGGCCACTGCCCTCCAGTCTGGGCGACAGAGTGAGACTCCAACTCAAAAAAAAAAAAAAAAAAAAAAAAAAAAAAAATTAGCGGGCATGGTGGCATGTGCCTATAGTCCCAGGTACTTGGCAGGCTGAGGTAGAAGATCACTTGAGCCCAGGAATTTCAGGCTGCAGTGAGCTATGATCGTGTCACCACATTCCAGTCTGGGCAACAGAGCAAGACCCTTCCTCTAACTATAAACAAACAAATAAATAAATAAGAATAAAAATTAGGTTGTTTGCTTTTTTATTAGGAAGTTGTAGGAACTATCTAAATATCCTAAAACCAGTTCGGTGTCAGATATATGTGTTTTGAATATTTTCTGCCAGGTATATGGTTTGCTTATTCATTTTTATTAATTAATTTTTCCTTTTGGTCAAAAGTCTCACTCTGTCGCCCAGGCTGGAGTGCAGTGGCACACTCATAACCACTGCAGCCTCGGCCTGCTGGGATTAGATGATCCTTTCACCTCAGCCCTTCAAGTAACTGGAAACACAGGTGCACGCCACTATGCCCAGCTAATCTTTTGATTTATTGTAGAGATGCAGTCTCGCCAATTTGCCCAAGCTGGTCTCAAACTCCTGGACTCAGACAATCCTCTCACCTCTGCTTCCCAAAGTGCTGGGATTATGGGTATGAGTCACCATGCCTGGTAATAGTGCCTTTTGATGAGCATAAGCCTTTTAGTTTTGTTTGTTTGTTTGTTTTTTATCTTAAGGATGTGGGGTATAATTCAGGATTAGGTATGTAAGTGGTCATTGTATAGGTAAAGTTTGGGCCTCCTTTTACTCCCCATTTTCCCTGGTTGAGATCAAGTACCCTTACTGATGTTATGTGCTCCTTCTTCCCTCCCCTGGCAGTTTCCCTCTGCCAATCCCTTTCTCATAGTATTATGATAAATGTTCAGGGTCCACTTATGAGTGAGAACATGTAGTGCTCAATTCTTTGTTTCTGCGTATTATAGACTCCAAATTCATCCAAGTTGCTGCGAAGTCCATAATTTTGTCCTTCTTTATGGCTGCTTAATATTCCATTGTGTATATGTACCACATTAAAAAAAAATCCAGTCCACTTTCAATGGGCAGTGTGGTTGGTTCCATGCATTTACTATTGTGAATAATGCTGCAATAAACATGCGTGTGCATGTTATCTTTTTTATAGAATGATTTAAGTTCCTCCAGTTTTATTTCCAAAAGAGGGATAGCTGGATCACTTGGAAGGTCGATTTTTAGATCTTTTAGGAATTATCACACTGTTTTCCACAGAGGTTGTACTAGTTTACACTCCCACCAGCAGTGTAGAAGCGTTCCCTTTCCCCCACATCCTTTCCAGCATTTATTATTTTTTGAGTTATTGATGATGATTGTCCTGACTGGAGTTGGGTGCTATCTCAGTGTGGTTTTAATTTACATTTCTTTGATGATTAGTGAGGCTCAACATTTTTTCATGCATCTCTTGGCTGTCTGTATGTCTTCTTTTGAGAAGTGTCTATTAATATCTTTTGCTCATTTTTTAAAGGGGGCTGTTTGTTTTTTCCTTTTGCCACATTTTTTTCTTATAGATCCTGAATGTTAGACCTTTATCAGATATATCGCTGGCAAATATTTTTTCTCATTCTAGTATCACACTCTGTTAAAGCTTGAGGGCTATGTTTTGGCTTAGACTACCTTCCATCAAATAACTGCCGGACAAGCAGAATTAAACATGTTGATAAGAACATACAATATTCATGTAGCACTTTGCAGCTTATAAAATTCTTTCACAGTTAAGATAGTAATTATTTACCGCCTTAAAAAGAGGTATGAATACATTGAATCTTTGACTTGTGGGATAAGTTACTGGGGTTATCAAGCTAGTATGTGGCAAAGATAGAACTTAGATCTTCTGAAGTCTGTGAGGTTCTCCCTCAGTATACTTACTGCCTGATGAGTATTCAATCTTCTTGTGATAACAAATAATTTCCTTGATCTCTCCCTATTACTTTCTTCTTTCTCCCTTACCGCTTTCCTTCTCTTCCCTCCATCCCAGTCTATATATTATCTCAGTGTCCTGCACCTCTGAAATGGGTACAGGGTAGCAGTACGCTCAGTGCTGTACAAAAACATGCCGACATCCTGTATAGCAGCCTTTCAGATTTGATGCTTTGGAATAACTTAGCAGATAAGTTGAATTAGTTTTTACTTGAATGCAGCAATATATTTCTCCTGAATGTCACTTCTTGGTTCATAATTATATATATATGTATTTCTAAAATTAATAGACTTTTTTTAAAAGCAGTTTTGGGTTTATAGAAGAATGGAACAGAATGTTCAAATATCCTCTCATCTCCTCCAACAGTTTCCCCTATTATTCACATTTTGTATTATGGCATTTTCTTTTCTTTTACAATTTGTGTGCCGATATTGACACGTTATCTTGAACTGAAGTTCATAGTTTACTCGAGGGTTCACTGTGTTGCATATTCCATGGGTTTTGACAAATGTGTCATGACATGTTTCCTCCACTGTAGTATCATATAGAGTCTTTTCACTGTCTTCAAAATTCTCTGTGCTCTGTCCATTCACCCCTCCCTCCTCCCAACCCCTGGCGACCACTGACCTTTTTACTGTCTCAATAGTTTTGCCTTTCCTAGAATGTCATATAGTTGGAAGTATGTGGCATGTAGTCTTTTCAGGTAGGCTTCTTTCGCTTAGCAATATGCATTTAAATTTCCTCCATGTGTTTTTGCAGCTTGAAGGCACATTTCTCGTTGACACTGAATAATATTCCATGATACTGATGTGCCACAGTTTGTTTATCCATTGACCTCATGAAGGACATCTTCAACGCTGCCAAGTTTTGACAATTATGAGTAAAATGACTTTGAATACTTGTGTGCAGGTTTTTGTGTGGACGTAAGTGATCAGTTCGTTAAAGAAATATCAAGGAGCTGAATTTTATTTTATTTTTATGTATAAAAAATGACTCATCATTTTCTTCTGTCTTAAGATATGAAATATAGTAGCTTGAGAGTGATAATTTCAGGTGAATATCTGCTACTTGATTTTACAGAGTACTTTCGACTTCCTGTAAGCTTTGAGGAAAGTTTTCAGTAATCCTATTTTTAATCAGAAACATGTGATGACCTTTTGAGGGAGTAGATGCAAAAAAGCTCTAGACCATTTAAGAATTTCATTGTCTTCTTCCCAAGATATTTTGAAAGACTGAGAAGCTGTTTTTAGATGTTGTGACTTCAGGAAAATGTCTGTAAACATTGAGGAAGCTTAAAATTGCAGTGTCTATTAGGAAAACACTGACTCAAATACAGTATACTCAACATCAGCTCCAATTTTTTTTTTTTTTTTTTTAGTCTGAGTCTTACTCTGTTCCCCAGGCTGGAGTACAGTAACATGATCACAGCTCACTGCAGCCTCAACCTCTGGTGCTCAGGCAATTCTTCTGTCTTAGCTTCCCGAGTAGCTGGGACTACAGGCTTGTATTACCATGCCTGGCAAATTTTTTTATTTTCTCTAGAGACATGATCTCATTATGTTGCCTGAGCTGATCTTGAACTCCTGGACTTAAGCGATCCTCCCACCTCAACTTCCCAAAGTGCTGGAGTTACATGCATGAGCCACTGTACTACTTCTACCTTTGTAACACAGAAATAGATTTTTCTTTTTTTTTTGCGCCCAGGCTGGAGTGCAGTGGCACACTCACGGCCTCTTCAGCATCAATCTGCTGGGCTCTGGCGATCCTTCTGCCTCAGCCTTCCAAGTAGCTGGAACCACAGGTCTGGCTAATTTTTAAAATTTATTGTAGAGACAAGGGCTTGCCAAGTTGCCTGGGCTGGTCTCAAACCTGCAGACTCAGGCAATCCACTCATCTCGGCCTCCCAAAGTGCTGGGATTACAAGCTGAGCCGCCGAGCCTTCATAAATGGATTTTTTTAAGAGATGAGGGAAAATGCTTTAGCTCACGAAGATGTGAATCAATGCCCTTTGTAAGGGAAAGGAATGAGGAATACAAATTCTCTTCAGATCTGAGAAGTTTAAACTAGACATGCAGAAGGATTCTGACTGAGAATCATTCCCACGACCCTCTAGAAAGGCCATTGTGGGTAAGAGTGTCTCAGAAGAATCTGAATGAACTAGTCCAGGATCTTTGTGAGAACCACAGAGTGAGTTTGCTTTTTGTAAAAACACCTCTTTGTCCATTTTTCAGTGTGTCAGGAAGCTGTCTGGGAGGCCTTCAGAACTTTTTGGGACCGACTTCCTGGGCGTGAGGAATATCGTTACTGGATGAATTTGTGTGAGGATGGAATCACAAGTATATTGGAAATGGGCACAAATTTTAGTCAGTCTGTGGAACACAGAAGCTTAATCATGAAGGTAAGTGTCATAACAAGGGAAGGAACTGCCAGACTGTTGTCGGAGTATATGCAAAGCTAAGGCTTAAAGGAAGAAGAGGCATGTGATGATTCCCTGGGTTGCTCTTTTTTGTTGAATTGGGGTATCCAAGGGAGCTGCCCTTGGCCGTGGCCTTCTTTTGTATTCTTAACTCTGGCCTTTATAATAAACATCATTAACCCAGATAAGAACCTCAGCCTGACTGAAGACACTATTGCTGCTGTCCTGCCCATTGGGTCCTTCACTATGTATCTTCTCTTTAATAAACCTACCTTCTAAGTTTGAATGAAAAAAAAAAAAAAGAAAAAAAGGAAAGAAAAAAAAAAGAGACTCAGCCTTCTTTATAGATGTATATATTTGAAAATAATCATCAGTAATGGTTTAGGCTAAGAATATAAATCTGTAAGAACCAAACCTTTTTGCTAAAGTTTTACTTATTACCAATTTAGAGTAGATACCAGTGCCTCTAATTATGGTAGAGGATATAGTTTATTAGAATAAGTGTTTAGTGAGGCATAAGTATGATTCTAATAAATAAGTTTGCTTACTGTTTTTTCTTGTTTTAGACATTGGTTTACTCTTAGCAAAGGATAAACACACATAAAGACACATTACCTGTCCACCTTTCCCTTTGCATGTGGCACACATGCCTTCAAGACAAGAAAATGAAACAGTCTAGACATGTATGGCGAATTGTTCATGTTGTCTGATATCCCTTGTGGGGAACCAACCCTCAGCCTAACAGACTTAGCTCCCATAATTCTTTGAGCCCCCATCATTCTTTATTCATTTAAAAAATATTGTGCTTCCTACATTTCATTATTACTTACCTATGGGACTAATTCCTCTGCTAGACTAAGAATCAAAGGGTAAAGATTATGTCATTATGTATTCATTTTTACATTTCCATGATGTGGGAAATATGCAGTAGATATTTGTTTAAATAAAAGTATATAAGCGATAACCACACTCTCCATTTCCTTTAGCTACAATGTATAAACTTTATGAATATTATTTTAAATATTGGTTCTAAGTATTATACTCCCTATAGCGACTAAAGAAATAATTATTGACTGAATAACTCTGAGCAATTTTAATTTGTGTCTAATCAAATCAGATTAGTACATTTTAAAGTAATAAAATAGGCCGGGCACTATGGCTCACACCTGTAATCCCAGCACTTTGGGAAGCTGAGGTGGAAGGATTACTTGAGTCCAGGAGTTTGAGAAGAGCCTGGGCAACAGAGTGAGACTTCATCTCTAAAAATTAAAAAACATAAAAATTATCCTACTCTTCCCACTTTTAAGTTTTATTTATAGTGAGATATAGTATTAATTTCATTTAACATTTAGTCCTACAGAGGAATGATCTTATTAACTGGGGGCAAGTTGGAGAGAAAATTATGGTTTGATAAACATGGGTGGGCCAAGGACAAATTTTTACAGAGTTGTAACCATTTTGAAGGTATGCAGGTTTTTGTGGTTTTCCTCTTTTTTTTTTTTAACTCAGGATCTCACTGTGTTGCCCAGGCTAGAGTGCAATGGCATGCTCATGGTTCACTGTAGCCTCCATCTCCTGAGTTCAAGCAATCTTCCCATCTTGCCCTCCTGAGTAGCTGGACTGCAGGCACATTCCACCACTCCTGGCTACTTTTTTTATTGTTTGAGGAGACAGGATCTTGCTATGTTACCCAGGCTGGTCTCAAACTCCTGGGCTCAAGCAATCCTTCCACCTCGGCCTCTCAAAGTGCTGGAATTACAGGTGTGAGCCACTGCTTCTAGTCATGATTTTTGTGTTTTAAAATGAACTCAACTTTCTTTTTTTTTTTTCCCAGCTAATGTTTTTATTATTTTTTATTTTTTTTATTTTTTTTATTGTGAAGTTGTGGGGTACAGTTAAGGGTTAGGTATACAATTGCGTTTCATTCAGGCACCCTGTTGATATGGGGTGTTTCCCCGTTCCCAGACAGATATTTGCTACTGTTAATCCCATCTCCCTCCCCCCACCATAGTTTCCCAGTACGGTCAGTCACTTTCCTATAGTAGTGCATTGAATGTTTAAGGTCCATTATATGAGTGAGAACATGTGATACTCGGATCTTTCTTTCTGTGAGAGGTCAGAACTCAACTTTCAATTATGTTACCTCACATTTCAAGTAAGACATTTTATGTGCTTTTTCTCGGTCATATTTTTAACTGTTCCATATTAATAACTATGATAATAGCTACTATTTATTCAGTAACTACCATGTTCCAAGGCCATATATTAAGCTCACTAAAAACGTTATATCTAATAAGCAGCAACCCTACAAGGAGGTGCTAATGTTCCTATTTTACAAATCAAAAGATCAGAGTTATTAAATTCTTTACTTTATATAACAAAAATCAGATGTGATGGAGTTTAAATCTAAACTCAAATCTCTTTTTCAAAATTCATGTTCTTTCCCCCACACCATTGGGTCTCATTGGCAATCATTACCAATTTTACAAATTGGAGTGGCTAACATAGAATAGCTACTTAATGAAAAATATATTTACATACACATATATGAACATATTTATATTAATAAAAGCATTTTCTATCTCTATTTTGTTTACAATATGGGGGTCAAGTGTAAAAGCAACAAAAATATATGATTTACATATATTATATAAAGTAAATATTATAACAACAGAATCTTGTGATGTTACATTGGCATATGTCTCTTACGAGTGGAATATTCAGTAAGTTTAGATTTTAAAAATACACGTTCAGTGATTGACTAGTAGAACAAGCACACAAAGGAGCTGATGTTTTGCCTGGATAGAGTCTTAAATGATAAGTACAAGTCAATTAAATGAGGAAGAGTTGGGGATGGATATTTTAGGCAGAGGGGACAGTATGAGCAAAGTATTTGCAAGGAATGTTGGGCCAATATCCCAGAATGATAGAGACGAGATTAGAAAAGTGGGTAACTTAACAAGCTTGAATTTGACTCTGTAGAAAATGAAAACCATTGAAGCATTGTAATAGGTAAGTTATGGAGGCTAATTTGACAGTTTTGAATCTTAAAAAGATCATTACGGTTTCTATACATCATAAGATGGATTGCGGGACACAAGACTGGAGCAGAGAAACTAGAGTGGGGGCTTCAGTACTTCAGGACCAAGAGAATGAGGGTCCTAACCAGACGATGAGCTAGAGAAAGGGAACTTGAAAGATATAAGTAGGAATAAGATTAGGACTCCAATGAACTGGATGGCAATGGGATAGGGTGAAGAAATGGACCAAGAAGACTTCAGTTTCTAATTTGGTGACTAGTACTGAGAACTGAGACAGAGAAACAACTTTGTAGACGTGGCAGGGAGAATGAGTTCACTTTCGATGTGTTCATTTGAGCCACCTGTGTGAAATGTCAATTGCTTGATATTTAGGTAGAAAGCCAACAGGGGTTGGGTTATAAATAGAAACCAGCCTTGAGGTAGTGTAGGCATGCCTCATTTTATTGGGCTGTGCTTTGCAAGTACTGCACTTTTTTTTTTTTGAGTTAGAGTCTCACTCTGTCACCCAGACTGGAGTGCAGTGGCCGCTCCCGGCCACCACAGCCTCGACCTGCTGGGCTCCAGCGATCCTTCCGCCTCAGCCTTCCAAGTAGCCGGAATTCAGGCATGCGCTACCACACCCGGCTGACTTTGTGATTTTATTGTAGAGATGAGGTCTCACTGCCCAGGCGGGTCTCAAACCCGCAGGCTCAGGCAATCCACTCACCTCAGCCTCCCAAAGGCGCGGGATTACAGGCTGAGCCACCAAGCCCGGCTAGTACTGCACTTTAAAAAAATTTTTTTAAATTAATTAATTAATTAATTAATTAATTTTACAAATGGAAGGTTTGTGGCAACCCTGTGTCAAGCAAGTGTGTTGGTGCCATTTTTTCAATAGCATATGTTCACCTTGTGTTTCTGTGTCACATTTTGGTAATTCTCACAGTATTTCAAACTTTTAAGGTGATCATTATTTGTGATGGTGCTCTGTGATCAGTGATCTGTGATGTTACTATTATAATCGTTTTGGAGTGCCACCAACCGTGTCCATATAAGATGGCGAACTAAATCGGTAAATGTTGTGCCTGTTCTGACGGGCCATTACTCGTTCTCTTTCCTCCCCACCGGCCCAAGGCTTCCCTGTTTCCTGAGATACAACAATGTTGAAATTAGGCCCATGGATAATCTCTTTATGGCCTCTAAGTGTTCAAGTGTAAGGAAGAATTACATGTGTCTCACTTTAAATCAAAAGATAGAAATGATTCAGTATAATGAGAAAGGGATGTGGAAAGCTGAGGTTGCCTAAAGCTAGGCCTCTTGTGCCAAACAGCCAAGTTGTGAATGCAATGGGCAAGTTCTGGAAGGAAATTAAAAGTGCCACCCCAGTGAACATGCAAATGATAAGAGAGTGAAACAACCTTATTGCTGTTATGAAGAAAGTTTTAGTGGTCTGGGGAGAGGATCAAACCAGCCACAACATTCCCTTAAGCCAAAGCCTAAACCACAGCAAGGTCCTAACTGTCTTCAGATCTATAAAGGATGAGAGAGGCGAGAAAACAGCAGAAGAAAAATTGGAAGCTAGCAGAAGATGGTTCATGAGGTGTAAAGAAAGAAACCATTTCCTTAACAAAATAGTGCAAGGTGGAAGGCAAGTGCTTAGGTAGAAGCTGCAGCAAGTTATCCAGAAAATCTAGCAAAGATCATTGATGAAGATGGCTACGCTGAGCAACAGATTTTTCATGTAAGTGAAACAGCTTTCTACTGGAAGAAGATGCCATCTAGGACTTTCATTGCTAGAGAGGAGAAGTTAAGGCCTGGCTTCATAGCTTAAAAGGACAGGCTGACTCTCTTGTTAGGAGCTAATGCAGCTGGTGACTTTAAGCAGAGCCAATGTTCATTTACCCTGGAAATCCTAGGACCCTTAGGAATATGATCATCCACTCTGCCTGTGCTCTAGAAATGGAACAACTAAGCCTAGATGACAGGACATCGTCAGTTTATAGCATGGTTTCTGTAATCTTGTAAGCCCACCTTGAGACCTCCTGCTGAGAAAAAAAGATTACTTTCAAAATAATTACTTCTCACTGACAGTGCACTGGTCACCCAACAGCTCTGATGGAAATGTACAGGAAATTAATGTTACTTTTATGCTTGCTAATACAACATACATTCTGCAGATCATGGATCAAGGGGTACATTAAACTCTCAAGTCTTATTAGTTAAGAAATGCATTTTATACAACTGCTATAGATAGTAATTCCTCTGATGGAACTGGACAAAATAGAATGAAATCATTCAGAAAAGAATTCACCATTCCAGATGCCACTAATAAAATTCATGTTCCATGGGTAGAGGTCAATGTACCAACATTAACATTAACAGACATTTGGAAGACATTGCCCAACAATGTCATGGATGACTTTGAGGAGTTCAAGACTCTAGTGAAAGAAATAACTGCAGATGCAGTAGAAATAGTAAGAGAACTAGAATCAGAAGTGGAGCCCGAAGAGTGACTGAACCACTCCAATCTCATGATGCAACTTCAATGTGTGAGGAGTTGTTTCTTAAGGAATAAAGAACGATGCTTGTTGAGATGAAATCTACTTCTGGTGAAGAGGCTGTGAACATTGTTGAATTGACAACAAGGGATTCAGAATATTACGTCAACCTAGTTGACAAAGCAGTGGCAGGGTTTGAGAGGACTGACTTCAATTTTGAAAGAAGTCTTACTACGGGTAAAATGTTATCAAATAGGATTGCATGTTACAGAGGAATCTTTTGTGAAAGAAATAATCGGTTGATGTGGCACCCTTCATTGTTGCCTTATTTTGTGAAATTGCCACAACCACTCAACCCTCAGCAACCATCAACCTTGAGGCAAGACTTTCCACCAGCAAAACGACTACAGCTCGATGAAGGCTCAGATGATCGTTAGCATTTTTTACTAATAAAGTATTTTTAATTTAGAATATGGACCTTGTTTCTTTAGGCATAATGCTGTTGTACACTTAACAAACCACAGTATAGTATAAACGTAACATATATGTACTGGGAAACCAACAATTGGTGACTTGTTTTATTGCTGCATTTGCTTTGCTGTGCTTTTATTCAGTCTGGAACCAAGCCTGCAATATATTTGAGGTATGACTGTAATTGAAACCATGAGAGTGGTTGAGAGTGTTCTGGGTGAGTCTATAGAGTAAGAAGAGCAGTGTGTCATTTATAAATATCATGAGAGATATGTAGAGTAATAGACTTTCTATTTCACAGATGGGGAAATTGATGTCTGGCACTAGGGAGATTTTGGGATTTGCCTGTAGCTAAGGAGGGGAAACTGGAAATGAAACTAGGTCTCCTGATTCCAAGTTAGTGTTCCTTTCATCATAATGCTCTCAAAATAAAACTATGATTTTATTAATTTTTTTAGTTGGACCAAAATCATCAGCAAAAATGCTAATTTAGAGGAAACTTGCAACCGATTTGCTTTGAAATACACCTGAGGAATAATCCAATTATTGACATGATTTGTCTTTTTGTTTGAATTCTTTAGAAAAGATTTATCAATTATTTTATCTGCATGTTCATATTGTTCTAGGATGAGAGTTACTGTAAATACATTAGATCACAAAATTCTTTGATTTTAAGTCCATGGATGGTTTATGTAAAACTCTACCCATCTCTAACTTCTAGACTTTTGGGGAATAATTAACAAATCAAGTCTGTTAATCTGTGCCCATAAGAGAGAGCATAGGAATTTTTGGGGTGTATAAACAGAGACTGAGTGTCAGGGCATCTTCACAGTCACAAAACAAACTTGGCATCATTAGTGCCTGTTTTAACCATCTGTCTAACCATAGCAAATAGTAACATAGGCTCTACCATGTTATGGCAGTAGTGTTCTTTATGGAATAAGTGTTATTTACTCCTTAATAACTGTTGTGAACTTAGTCATTTTATGTCTTTGTTTTCCTTAGAAACTGACTCACGCAAAGGAAACTGTAAGCAGGTGAGTGTCTCTTTTTACGCAGATTTGTGTTTGGCAGCACAGATGTGTCATACCTAATTCAAGACTAACCCCAAACTTAATAGTGACTTTCTACTCTCTTGCCAGTTCCTGCGATGACCAGGTCTGTGGTTAAGTCCCAAATGTTTTCCCTCATTCTCAGGCCACCTTTCTTCCCAGATCATCACCACAGCCACTGTGCTTGTTTACTGTCTGAACTTAGTCGGAGGCAGACTTGTTCCTCTCTCAGAGAAGAAAACAGATTTATAGTTTATGTGGAATGATCTATTGTTGTTGATATTTATTACTGATATTTAAAGACTAATGATGGTACACCACAATGGAGGATATTTTATTAATTGATGGGTGGTGCTGGAGATGATCTTCTTGACTATTGATGGTTATGGTCTCCATATAGGACTAGCGCAACCTTGATGAATCTCTCAGTGTTATGACTCTATTTGCCTTTAGGCTTAAAACTAAAGTCATTTCTGGCTGCTGAGCAGTAGCAGTTAGTACAAAGAAGACCACAGAGGATGAGGGCCTTTGAGCCTATAGGAGCTAAAGTTTTCCGATTCTATTCATCCTTACAGTATTTAGATTATAGCAGCCCATGGGAGACTGTGTAAGAAAGCACCACTAGGGCATGCAATACAGGTCACAGTCCAGAAGTTTGCTTCAGATTAGAGGAAAGGACAGATTAAAAGGCTAGGTAGTCGAGTCAACGTCCAGAGATTCAGTCAAGGTGGCAGGGTCAAGGCGGAATCACAGTTGTAGTATATATGCAGGTGGTAGTGTAGTGTATCTAGTTTTCAAATCAAACACAAGTGAATAGGAGGGAGGTGAGCTCTATGTGGTCTTATTCATATAGCTAATACTTATTAAGTCTTATCAAGTCTTATTAAGGCAGTTACTGAGCTATGCTGGGGCTTGGGGTGGACTATCTCCCTAAGATGTGGGGCCATGTGGTCTCTTTGGTGTTCTCTTCCCCACAGAGAGGGAGAACTCAGAGATTCCTTGGGATTGCCATTGCAACAGTAGACTAAATACTCTGGCACGTCCTACCAGTCCCAGTAATTTTCACAGTTGTATGAACAGGGTAGTGAAGGGTCCTGCTGGTCATGGGACGGGGCAGAGTTTTGAATGGGGCTTGAAATGATGAGGAGCTTGAAGGAACTTGACTATTCCTTCAGTTTCCAAACCAGTTATTTCAGGGTTCTCTGAGATGCTTGTCCCCATTTCATATGATTGGAAAGGTTCTACAAGCACTATGAGGCAGGGGAAACGGGGAGATAGAGCAGAGGTATCATTGTGCTGCATATCTAGTTTGTTGTGATGGAGTGTTCTGGGCTGAGGGTTCTACTTCAGAGACCTGTGTTGATGAAGGTAAGCATTTGACCAGTGTATCTTATCTGTAAATTTGCTGGACTGGTGGGTGTTTCTCTTGGTTCTCAACCTAATTACTTTTATAAACAGAAGGCCTTGCTCATTTAGGAAGTTTTAGACCAGTAGTTTTCAACCTTGGCTGTACTGTATCCTACCTCAGAGACTGATTTAATAGATTTACACTGTGGTCTGGCGTGAGAATTTTTAAGGACTCTTCAGATGATTCTATTGTGTAGCTGATGTTGATAACCTCTGTTTTAGGCTATTGAGAGTTTGCTGATGAATAAACAGTCTTACAAGAAAATAGGAAAACACATGGGCAAAGTATTGTTTATCTTCTGGAACAAAGATTTCTAGGATGAGTCCAGAAATTCTACCAAAAATATATCATAGACTTGTATGTTTATTATGACCAGGAAGAAGTCATCAATTTATTACTATTAAAATGGAGTGAGCTGGGCTCGGTGGCTCAGCCTGTAATTCCGCGCCTTTGGGAGGCTGAGGTGAGTG